TCCACCTTTAGTCTGCATCATGTTACTTCACGTCTCTGCTTTTTAAAACGATAAATGTTTTCCATTGCTAATTCTTGCAGCTCATTCATCACACTCTGGAGAAAAATAGAAACATCTCATGTTTTGATTGTTTCTTATATTAAATTATTGTCATTGTTTTCATGTTTACTGATTGTTTCAGATTTGTTTTATCCCTGTGATACAGAGACATTTCTTTGTGTGATAACATCAATCTGTTTCTGCTTCTGAAGCGTCACCTCCACATTTAATTCAAGTTTAAAACACGAGAGAGACGAAGACGACAGCTACACTTTAAAGAATCTATTTATGTCAAAACAGGATTTTTTCCTGTGTGTTTTAAATCGTTTTTTCTTCTTCTTTATATCTTTTTTTAAATTTTGAATTAAAGAACATTTTCAGCAGTTTAATATTTGATTAGAAAAACCTTCAGATGATGTAAAGAGAGAAACTCAGCAGCTGCTCTGATTGGAGGAAATATTAAAGAGAGAAAATAAAGATTTTTAGGTGATAAATTTCCTGTTTGATTAAATTAAAGAAAAGTAAATCTCTCCTATCATTAAAGTCCAGAAAAGAGCGGGAAGAGTCACAAACAAAGCAGGTTACTAAGATTCTACTAAATCATCTTCTCCCCTCACATCTGTTCATATCCTGTTTTTAAAAAACATTAGAAACATTTTATCCAGCTATAGAAAGTCTTCCTGTTGGTGTTTTTTTTTCTAAATGAAGGGAAGGTCATTATGATTTAAGAGAGTCGTGTTTGTTTGTAACATTCAGAGCGAGAATCAGAAAATAAAGAAGAACAGCTGCAGTGATGAGCTTCAAAAAATACGTTAAAATGCAAATTAATTAATGATTACAACGTGAAACGATAGAAGAAAGAAGAAATGCTTTAGAGTTGATCTGCTTTTGTTTTTGACTTTTGACAGGAGAGGCAGAAATAAACCTTGAGGGCTTCAGCATGTTCCTTTTCTGGTCGTTGATTGTTTGAATGTGAAATGGACGAGTGTAAGTATTAGGGCGGGGCAATTCATCGAAACTGACATTCAGAACCTCTAACCGACATAACCTTACCCATGTCGATTATTTTGATTATTTTCAGGGCAGAGTCTGTGACGCGTCGTTTGAACACATTTTGTCTTTAGGGAAGACGACACCGAACAAAATGAAGTCAAATGTAAACAATGCGGAAAAACAGTTTGCAAGAAATGCAAGTTATTTATTTTCTACTGTTTAAGAGAAGTTAATTTCTACTTTAAAACGAAAATGTGTCGTTTTAATTTCAAGCGATGCTTTGATTTCAGTTTGAAATATTCAATAAATAACCACAAAAGAGTTAATCAGATATGCACTCTTTCATTAGAAAACATATCCCAGCTTTCATAGTTGAGTTTATTAGAGAGTAGAGACCATGTCAGTGAACTATGAGGGCAAAAAACAAATAATTGTTCATCAAGATAAAATGTTCAATTAATCATGATATTGATTTGAGGTTATATCACCCAGCCTTACTGTTAGCATGTCAAGAGTTTTGTTTCTGGACTCTTTACATAAATATTTTTTTGACTTTTGTAATTTTTTTAATGAATGACCAAAATAAAAATCATTCATTCATTCAGCACAATCAAACGATCACGATGATCACTCTGCTCCTCTGAGCTGCTCGTTGGCTTTCAGCCCCCTTTGCAGTTTTTTTTTTTTTTTTTTTTTTTAAACATGTCCCTTAAAATGTGAGTTTTGGGTGCGAGGCGGCTGCGGCAGGGGGGGGAGAGAGAGAGGGGAGAGAGGGGAGGTTAATCCCAGTTTAATACACTGATGCTCAGCCCAGGACCGAGGCTGTGATGATTGTGTTATCTCCAGCCAACATTTGGGTCTCCCTCAATTTCAACCCGGCAGAATAGCTGCGAGAAAGTGCAGATGGAGACGAGTGTGAGTGCGGACGCCCGGGGGGGAGAAAAAAAAAAAGTGATATTAATAGCTGCAGCTCGAACTTCCCACACAGCCTCTGCTGCAAAGCTGCTTCCCGTCACTTCCACTGGATCTGTTTGAAGTGCTCGCTCCATCCTCACTGCACAGTGCAGAGCCTTTTTTTTTTTCTCTTCTTTTCTTTCAAAGAGATTATTCTGGACTCCAAACTGACACGGTTTCCTCCTCTGCAAGGGAGCAGCTCTCTACAGAACAGCCTTTAAAGAATGTGGTCAGGTTTTGTCTCTGATCGTCTGTGAGCTCACCTCTTTAAAAACAATAAAATAAAATCCACATGTGGAGACCTTTTTATGTAAAAGAAAACACATTATTTATCAAATGTTGGACACGGTTATTTTCAAAATAAAACCACAGCTTTTACAGCTTTTGGTTTAATTTGTGCAAACAATTAAGAGCTGGTTTGTTAAATAAATATAAAGCTCAACAGTTCAGACATATTCTGTAAAATTTAAGCAAATGACCGGTGAGAAAAAGCAAGAAAATACAGATTACAGAGCAGGAAAGTGTACTTAATGCTTACTCTGAAGATTGATCATGAAGCTCTTATTGTGTAATTTTTTCTGGAGTGTTTTTGAAGTGCAGTCTTGGAGCATTTTGTTATTTACTTGAATGAGTAAAATTGACTTAGAATATAATATAATACTTAAACCTTATTTTGAACTGTCCTCTGAGGTGTTGCTTAAATAAAGATGACGTTCTTTATGTTGATGTGCATGCATTGTGTAGCCCCCCCCCCCCCCCCTCCCCCCTGCTGTGTATCACTGCTGGCTCATCATGTGCACACACACACATCATGTTATCTGATCAACAGTGACAGTAAACAGTCCTCCTCGTGCATGTGTTTGCCTCACTCACACCTCGTTCATTCATCTGCAGCACGGCTCGCCCTGACTCTCTGCCAACCCAACCAAAAAAAAAAAAAAAAACAATCCTATAAAAGCAAATGAAATGAATATTTAAAAATACAATCTAAACAACACGAAGAGGAAAAAAAAAAAAAAACCTTAAAATCTCATGAATTTTGCACCGCAGGCTCCACACCGCGAAGTGAGCCGCTGAGAGATGAAAGTGAAAAGAAATAAAAGGCTCAATTTAATCTGCTTTAAAGCTCCTTCAACAGAATGCACGAGCCCGGGCCTGTGAGAGTGAGGGCTGATAGGGGATAAATATATTTCTTACCATGCCTCCAGGCTATTACACCCCTCTCCAACACAGACGCCTATTCAACGAGACACCGGTTTCATTACCAGCTGTAATAGGCTAAGTCTTCAAATTATTAAACGGCAGGCCGGGATGACAGAGACACACAGAGAGGCTGATCTGCTGAACAACATGAAGAGGACGACGCAGACGACGAGAGGAGTGAAGAGAACGTGGCGGTCAGGAAACACAGAAGCTGCACGCCTTCAAGAGTTCACTTCATGAGTTAGGGTGACAAAATGAACCAATCACAACAAGGCATGCAGAGTGCAGGTTCTTCATCTCTGGATGAGACGCAGACTGACCCAGAGAGACTGATCCAAACATGCCTTTATTTAAAATAATGTTTGTCTCTTATTGTGTATAAGCTGCTAAATGCTACATATACCTGCCTTCTTGAAGCATCTCTACATGTCTTTAGACTGACACAAGGCCGCTTCAATGTGTTTCCTTGACCTGATTTTTAAATATATGTATATGGAGGATCTTTAATAAAGCCAAAAAAAAGAAATAAAGGAATGCATTTTCACAGTGTTTCACATTAATCCCCGTAAAATTCAGATTTATCTGCAGAAAGACGAGACTTCCTGCAGGGTTGTGATCTGCACATGTGCCCCGTCTCACATTAATAAATAAAAACGTGCATTATTTTATTTTGGTAATTTGAGAAAGTGTTTTATTTTATATCATTTTTGAGCTGTTTGACAGTGAGGAAGCTTTTTGTAGATTTGATTTGCTAATAAATAGAAAGCAGAATATTAGGCCACACATGACTTTATTATTATTATTATTATTATTCTGCAATAATTTGACATTTAGTTAAATGTTTTGCAGATGTGTTTTCAATCTTTTAATCCCAAAACACAGTTGAGCCCTTTCAAGGATAAAACATTGCATTTTAATTCTTATTTATTTTTGTTTTATGTTGAACAACTTTTAATGTCTCAGTTTTTACACGGCTACATGTTTTATGTCTTAGCTCAAATGTTAATGCTAACCCTGTTTTTATTATCTGTCTTGTGTCTTTAATTTAACTTTAATTTATTTGTATTATTTTAATTTAAAATCAGGGCATGCTAATGTGCAGAGAACTTGCTCCTAATGCTCCTCCCAATGTTTAAACATTTATAAAATAATAATTTCATCTGAGAGAAAAATAAAAATTAGCATCATTTTAAAAATAGTTTTGCATCTTAAATTTGTGCACTTTGTTCAAAATGTATTTACATTTTTAGTAATTTTAGTAATCATTTTTTTCTACAGTTGGAGTATAATTTCATAAATTTAAGTATGATTAAGTTTGCAGATTTATTTTTATTTAGCTCCTCTGTCTGTCTGAGTTTCTTCTGCTCACTTGAGGCTGCTTTCCGGTGAACTTGAGGCCGCTGTGAGGCCGCTGTGAGGCCGCTGGCCCCGCGCTCCTGCACTAGCCCCCCATGTGTGTGATCGTGGCCCCCGTTAGGCCCCCGTTAGGCCCCCACAGTAATTGATATTGACTGGCACATCGGTCATCTGTCAGCGCTGCTTTCAGGGGAGCGTTTAAGCAGCGCCGCAGGAGCGCGCTCCACTCCAGCAGCTCCATCATAAATAATTAAGCGGCTCCGCGTCTGCTGGGAGAGCAGCTTACCGAGGGGGAACCCGGAGAGACTAAAGGCCCGTTTAGGAACAATTTGTAGACAAATCATCGACAGTAGAGTCCACGAAAAAGCGAGCAGCAGCTGTCAACACGTACTGCTAAAAATGAGCTGGGCTGTGTGTGTGTGTGTATGTGTGTGTGTGTGTCTCTTTGGGCCTACCTTTGTCGCCGAGGATTCCGTCGATGCTGTGTTTGGTCTTCTTCTCTCCGTCCTCATCCTTTTTGTCACACTCGTCGTCGTCGTCTTTTTTTCCAAAACGCGCTCGCAGTACGCGGCTGATGGAGCTCACTGTGAAAACACGGGCAGCCTCAGTAACACAAAAAATAACTCAAATAATAATGCTGTAAATACATAAACTGCCCCCTTGTTTTTTTTTAACACTATATCTGTTCTGTACGATCGAAATAAAGGAGCAGAGAAAGAGTGGATTTAATTAAAAGTGGCTTACCAGAGGAGGCCTCACCTGAAGGGACTGTGCTTCTGTCACACACGCCGTCCTTCAGCAGCTTGTCCCGGATCTCCCAGCTGAACATGCCGGGGTTGTCCCGTTTGTACTCCTCTATCCGCTTCTCCACGTCCGGCGTGGCTACCTGCTGCAGGTGGGACAGCGCGTAAAATCATTTAAAGAATGTGTAAAAGCAACCAAAGAGCATTTCAAAACAATCTACAATAATAAATACACCACTAAAATTCTTGATTATTTTTCATGCTGCTTTTATTACTATTATTATTTTTTTTATCTCCCCGGCCGGTCCGGCTCACCCTGGGCTTGCTGCCTCCGATCGCTCCGGGCCGGATGGAGCCGGTCTCCTGGTATCGGCAGAGGATCTTGGACACGCAGCCGTGGGAGACCCGCAGCTGTCTGGAGATGACGCAGGGCCGGATCCCGTGGTGGGCCATCTCTACTATTTTGTGCCGGATGTGGTTGGGCAGCGGCCGGCCGTTAATGAAGACCCCTCCGAGCTGGTTGACCCGCCCCTGGCCCAAAGGAGTGGACACTGAGAGAGGAGACACAAGGAGGTCACACTCAGCAGCAACGGAGCAATTTTTAAAATCCGAAATGTATTCATTAGATTTTTTTTTTGTGTGTGCATTTACCAAAATAAGAAGAAGGCCTGAACATGTTTTATTCTGTGCGTAATTTACGCGTAAAACGGATGAAAGCTAATTTCGATAACAGATTGTCATTAAGGGCACGAGTGGCACTTCACAGCTCCATCCGCGCCTGGAGAGGAGGTGAAGAGCCGCTTCTGTCCGTCTTCATTATTCACCACCACGATGTCCAAATATTGATGTAATCCTCTGTCTCTGCACGGAGTTTTTTTTTAATGTTTGATTTGAATTTCCAGGCGCTTCCAGGACACTTGAAGAAATCCCACAATTGTCGTTACAGACCCTGTCTGGGGATTTAGGCGTATTTCAAATTTGTTTGCAAAATTGTCACTTGATTGTAGTTAAGTGAAGTGCACCTAGGACCTTAAATATTTAGTTAAATGCGCTGGAATATTATTGTAACAGTTACATTTCGCAGAAGCCAAATAAAGAGTTTACATTTGTGAGAGAGAAAACGTTAAAGCGAGTCTTTCTCGGGGAAAAAAAAAAATCAAAGCAGGCTGCAGTAGGCCTGTACTCCAGGCCATGGATGATTGTAAAGTATTTTTTAATTTGTTCTCAAATTGTCAGCCTCTCCTCAGAGCTCCAGGCCCGGCAGGATGACTGCTCCTACCTTCCAGAGGGAATCCGGTGCGAGGGTAGTTCTGTCCGGGAGCCGGGCGCATCATCCGCGGTACCGTTCCTGGCAAAGATGACATTGTACCATTAAAAAAAATTATGAAGAAAAATTAAACAAAAGAAAAAAGAAAAGACGCGGAGGAGTCTATGTGTCCAGTTTCAGTAGTTTGGTCTCAGTGATTTGAAGGAGGAGGTTTGTTGATCCACGGGTTAGTGCTGGTGTCGGAGCAGAAAAAAGGAGAATAATGAAGAATAAGAAGACCCCAAAAAGCGGAGTGGACGCTCCTCACACTGTTAATGTGTTCACAATAAACCCCTCCTCTGTCTCTGACATGAGCTTATTTAACCCGTGTCAGTGAGGGACTACTTTGACGGTCTGTGTTTCCCGGACAAGTCTGGACCAGGCGGGCTCGAGCAGAGGGAGGGGGGGGTGGGGGGTGCGGGAGGGGGGACGGGGGGAGCACCGATAGGTTCTTGGGGTTTTCTCTTATTCGAGAGGGAAAAGCTCCAACAAGTTTCAGCAGCCAATGGGAGCGAAGGGATGAAGACGTACACACACACACAAAAAAAAACCCACAAACACACATCCCGCTCACGGTGAAACATCACATCCGCCTGCACATCACACAGGGTGGACACACAAACAAAAACACCTGTCAAACATCATGCAACCCAATGCAATACTCTGCAACACGCCGCTGCAGGCTATTGATCAGTGTTTGTTCACACAGAATGGACAGCTTTTTATTATTTCTTAAATTGATGTCTGCAGCTGGTAGACAAACAAAACACTTGAAAATAAAGCAGACACTATTAGAAATGTTTTTACACCTTTAACAGATTCAGCCACTAGGCATGCCAATATTCAAATAAATAATTAAGAATTGATTGAAAAGAAAGTTTTGAAATGCTCCTTTGCTTTTTGCAAAAATGAAATTAAAGACAAGCGAGAGAAACACTCGTTGCGTTTAGCCTCTCAGATTGTGCAGCTGTGTCACTCTGATTGTGAAAATAAGGAGAGGAAATAACAATTTTGATTTGCAGAATTAAATAAAGAAAGAAAAATCTATTCAAAAAGTGTTTATGAAAGATGTGAATGTTGACATTGTTAAGGATAAGAGGGGTGAAGTGAAAATGTAAGAACTGTAAAGTAGGTCAGATTAAATGTATATAATATAGATGATGTGATATAATATTGCAGCAGCATAATAATGAAACACTTACACTACGGACATTATGAGAGAATGTGGAGGGCCCTGGGCTCTTCTTGCTCAGACACGAGAGGAAGACCTGCAGACTGAAGTCAGGCAGGAAGGAAGACCTGCAGACTGAAATCAGGCAGGAAGGAAGACCTGCAGACTGAAGGTAGGCAGGAAGGAAGACCTGCAGACTGAAGGTAGGCAGGAAGGAAGACCTGCAGACTGAAGTCAGGCAGGAAGGAAGACCTGCAGACTGAAGGTAGGCAGGAAGGAAGACCTGCAGACTGAAGTCAGACAGGAAGGAAGACCTGCAAACACCTCTGCAAGCTCTTCAAGAAATAAATATGAATAGTGATGTACAGTGGACATTATGCTTTTAGGCAGTGGGGTAGTGCAGGGTATAAGCAGGTATATGGAGTACACACTCTTATTTTTCAGTCTTCATTATAGGGGGTAACCACTTTTAAATCCCCTCTGATTCACACCATTGATTGGTTGTTGAAATTAAGTAATATGCTGCAATTAATTGGCACACACAGATTAAATACGCAAGAGGAGTCTTACAATACAGTTTATAACAGAGGCCATTTATCCTCTGCAGGACAGGACACTAAAAGTTTAGAGTATACCCGCTTCTTCAGGCACCACTGCACCACTGCATGGTTTTTAGGATGTTCTCTCAATATTTTATCCTAATTCAAAAATGTGTCAAAAGTGTTAGTACCACTTTTCATGAATCCATTCCTCTTGGTAGTTATGTTGATATATTATTTTAAAAGTTAACCATCTTAGGGCAATTCTTCTTTTAGGATCGTGAAGCTGTAATACAGATGTATATTTGGATTGGAGCCGAGTGTGCAGCTATGTTGTGAGCTGAAAAGGAAAAGTGATTCTCTCAGGTTGAGGAAATGTATACTGTATGTCTTCCTTGTTCAACCGAAAGATGGCCGGACTACATGAACTGCCTGCTTATTTATGTTCTCGGCTGATTCCTGAAACTCTCAGCAGCTGTAGCCTTCCATCTCCAGGACTCCACAAACTCGGACACCGTCTTTAGTAAAAGTGTTTTTAGTGTTACTGCTTCATCATCTTGGTCTGAGCTGCAGAGCCACCTTAAACTGGAGCATTGAGTCGGCTTGGAAGATTTTAAAACTGACATAAAGGATAATTTGACGGCTATTTTCACAAGTGTCTCTGCTTCCGATTTCACCTCCAGGGACAGTGGGGGCCCCCAGTCTCTTCTAGGGACACTCAGGGCCTCCAGTCTCTGGCATTTTTATTTTAGGGGTTGCAAGCTGAACAGATTGGAAACCCCTGGTTCTGCAGCATCATAACTACATATCTAAAGATTCTACCATTAGGTTTGTTCATTTCTAAGACTTTGAGAGGTAAATACTAAGAAGATGAAAATGGTTGAAGACACATTTACTTAACAGAATTACATTTATTTTTTCTGATCTTTCTCTAATCCGTGCTTTACTCAATAGCTTTACCTCCTCTGGTCTCTCAAAGTGAGTCATAACCCCAAAGTGTTTCGCAAGAAGTTTTAATTTAGGAGCCGACAATCTGAGAAACACTGACAAAGACTGTTCGGGCGCCGCCACCACAACCACTACTACTGCTACTACTACTACTACTAGAACTACACTTTCAGGACAGTTTCAGTAATCTATCATGAAAGCAGCATCCGATGTGCCACAGAGTGACTCTCAGGTTACAGAGACATCAGCTGATGGTCTCAGATAGCGAGGGGGGCAGCTGATGGGTTTGTGTGGCGACAGCAGAGTCCCGTCTGACAGACATGTCCTCCGCTGACACGCCGTGTCCTGCAGCCTGCGCATCATGTGATGGCCTGGGTGCTTGTTTTTCTCTTAATCAGTTAGATCAGGCTCGCCTTTACAAATGCCAAAAGAGAAAAGAGTCTGTGTGAGCCACATGAAAGTAGCAAGCCCCCCCATTTACCACAGAGTGTGTCGATTGGTTTCACTTAATCGATCTCGGTGACCGAGCCATGAATGGGCCCAGTTCAGTGAAGAGTAAAAGTTCCAGACCTGAGAGTTCCCAACAACAACAACAACTTTAACTTCCTTAGAAATGTTTTGAGGGACATTGGTATAAAAAAAAAAAAGTGAAGCACTGACAGGAATGTGCATGTTCTCTTAAAACAGACAGAAATGTGTAAGCGGCTGAATTTATATCCACATGACATCCCTTCAAGGACTTTGGTCCTAAATGTAGCATTTGGGTGTTTTAACCTGCAAGAGGCTCCTGAGAGCAAAAGAAGGGCCTCAATTTACCTCTAAGCTCCTCCGCTCTTTGGTCAGAGTGCAAATGTTCAAGCCCTTTCTCCTAGAATTATATTCAATATAGACGTTTAACAACATGCACTCCTGCAAGTTTCTCGAAAATCTTCAGGACAGCCTGCACCTAAAATCTTCCCCTGCTCGTGGTCATTTCACTACGTGGCTGGCAGGAAAAAAATTCTGGTAAAGTCACTTTACGACAGATACTGAGACACTAGCATGAACTTTACAGAAGAGGCAAATTGTGGACATCTGAATTTTTCTTTGCCAGCCATCTTGGATTTTTTTGACATCATGTCCTACCTCCTAAGACACCTACCCCCCATATCTGACTCCCGGCTGTGAGGGACATGAGTGAATAACAATGGTGCATGAGTGTAAACAGCCTCGGTATTTTATTTTGAAGGTCTAGCTGTCGATCCGGGAAGATTTAGTCACAAAAAAAAGTAGTTTGAGTTTAGGAAACGAATCAGGATGTGGGTAAAAAATCAGTGACAGTGGACTTTTCTTTGTGTGTCATGCAGCTCAGACCATGTTGTCCAAGAATGTTTGATCCATGCATCACCTTGCTACTGCATCACCTCCCCCCCCCCCCCCCCCCCCTACGCTGTGCTCTGAGGATCTTTCACTGTTGGTGATAAAAAGGGATTTGCAGAAACATGAGCTATATGGGAATTATTCTGCATTTCTTTTAGGTTAGAAAAGAAAATATCATGAGTAATATATGAATGATCATTTCTCGAGCCTTTTTCACACATGCACAGGCTGCCCCCCCCCCCCCCCATGCAGGAGCCCCATTAATGGAGCGCTCCCCGACTTCATGAGGGAAATTGACTAAGTGGCTGTGAGGAAAATATCTGAGTAAAGTCAGGGAGTAAAACACCTTGTTCACACATGCAGCTTACCTCTAAAATATCTGTTGATTTCTGAAGTTTTTAGTTTGTGTATAAACCCCGTAGGGAGGGTGTCATCTGGCCTTTTGATGATTTCCACACAAATGTGTTAATTTTGTAGAAGCAACACATCAACGCTGAAATTAGAAAGTTGTCACGAGATGTATGTATCAGAGGCGCTTCTTTTCAGCAGGTTGCACAAGGAAACGCTTTTCAACCACAGGAGTTCCATGAAAGCCCAAAAACGAGGCCCTAACTTTCTGTATGTTTGCTTTGATTATCAATTCATCCCAATGTTTTCACTGAAGACTCAATCAGACTAGATTAACTGCTGTCCGTTTGCCTCCGCGTCAGATAACATGGAGGTCTCACTAAACAAGTGAAACACAAACGTTAGCTCAAAACACTAATCCAATTTCAAATTGGGTGGAATTGCTTCCATACAGTTCAAACATCCATTTTTCGAGCTGTGGTGGTCTGGGGCGCTAACTGCTTAGGACACCCATAGCCAAACCTCAGAAATCAAGATTATGAGCGAGCATTTGCCACAGAGGCATGATGTTTAAGCCGTCGGTTTTACAGGGACTTTGGGTCTCAGCGTCCAAACAAAGCCTGATGTGTGGCCGACATGGAGGTTCAAACTTTGTCTCTTTTGCTACTTTTAGAGTTCATATGTTGGGGGGTC